AGCATGAAACTGAGCAAACTCAGGGAGGCAGTGAAGGACAGGAAGGCCTGGCGCAATATGGTTCATGGGGTTACGAAGAGTCGGACACGACTTAACGACTAAACAACAACAACAAGAACCTCCGCAAGAGAGCCAGGCAATTGCAAATAGGGAACAAGAGTTAGAAGATATGCCCATTAATGACAGAGCTTGGCACTGAGCAACAAGCAGTGTTGCACTTTAGAAAGTAAGATATGCAAACAATCTGCATTAACTGGGGGAAAGAGATGGTAATGAAACATAAGGTAAAAATGAGTAATTGCACATTTTCCTCTTCAGGTGTCCCTTTCAGCTATGAACCATCCTGAGGCTCTAGCAAATAATAGTAAGGACTGACAACACAAATTGCATACTACGTATTTCAGCGGCAGTCACTTTCCTGTTTAAGGGCCTTACTCCGCAGCGTAAGGGAGATTTTAGGATGCAAAGCAAAGAAACGCCTCCCTAGCGCAAGAGTACTTGGGCAGCCTTTGGTTGCTATTGATGCTCTTCCCATAGAAGATGCACACATCTTTCTTTAAAAAAAATTACAACATGGGGACGAACACGATTGTCCAAGCCCGCCAATCTCACTGCTCATGCCCCTTGCACGGGAGGGGACAATTAAGAAGTATCGAACCCAAGGCACACAAGTCTCCTGCGCTCTTCCTCTTCTCATCTCCTCCTCCTCGCACTAGCACCACCCACCTTTTCGGTGTCAGCGCTGCAGGCCAGCGCAGCCGCCGAAAGAACCTCCTCGCCTCCTCTCTGCTGCGGCTCTGTCGGCTTCGGCGCCGGCTGGTGGAGCCGCGTTCGTCTCACTATTTTCCCCACCATCGCGAGCCAAGAGGAACCGGCGCACGCGAGGACGAAGGGGCGGGGGAACGGGACCTCGCCAGCGCGCTCGCCAACTGCTTCCCCCGGAAGTGCGGCGCGTGCGCTGTGAGGTCCGCCCGGCCCCTTTTACGGCCACGAGGGGGCGGTGGCTGCTCCTTGCTTCGCGTTGCTTTGCACGTTCTCCGGGCTGGATTCATGCTTTGAGGGGAGATTCTGACCAGCAGAGTGTTGAAATAGGAGCCCTAGACACTGTTACTCAACAGATGCACGTGTGCAAAGGGTGGAAAACGTACTGCGTCTCCCGCAAAAAGACCGATGCAGGACTGAGCAGCAGAACTATGAAACGAACAAGCTAAAACAGTGATAGCGAACCTTTTGGGCTTGGCTGTCAAAAATTCGGAAAATGCCTAACTTGACTCTGCTGGCATGTCACACACCCCCAACAAAAGAGAAACAGTTCTTTATATATTCATTTATTTAAAAAAAAAATACAGTCCAATCATAAACGTCAAATAATTACAAAAATGAAACATGAGTAAAACAAACTCAGTTTCTGTGGTAACTCAAACAGGAAGAATAATTGTCAGGTGTTGGTGAATGCTGGTGTGTCACCCAAAATGTTGTGGCATGCTACCTTTGACACATAAGTCATAAGTTTATCATCACTGGGCTAAAGCAATCAGGACCTTTCCCATCAAACTCCTAAGACAATGATAACCCTGCCCTTTTTTCTTCTATTGGAATTGGTGGGGAGGGGGGAAGCTGAATTAAAAGCCAGAATTCAAACACTTAAAATAAAACCGATGCCAGAAAAATAGATGAGAATAATAGTTAAGAACCGTAACCTTTTCAATATTAGCTTTATGTACCCCTTAACACCCCAAAGCCATTTGGAAGATAAGTTAACAGCCCCAAATACTTATTTCTAGCCTGGCAAACAGACCATTGGTAAGGAGAACCCTACTTAGATGTACAGCATTATGGTAGTGTTTATGTGTTTATTGTAATGGGAGGGGGTATTGTAAGCCATCTAGCATCTAGGGTGTATTTGGAATATGAAAAAGGGTATAATAAATAAAGGTGTGTGGCTTGTGAATTTCTTTGGGTCAGCAGGTGTGCATGCATTTTGGTTGTTCTTCTGAAACGACTTTTGCCTTGAAAGGATTGAAAATGTAGTTTCTCTGTAAGACTTGTATCTTATACTCAGTGCCCTCTAAATATGAATTACACTGGATTGGAAGTGAATATTTTGGGCATTTCTATTACATTCTGGTTTGGTTTTGGATGTTAAAGGATTAATAAAAGAAATTGTGTGTGTGTGCATGTGATGAAAAGTTTCTATCCTTAAATAACTTTCTCAGTGTTCCCTAACACATCTGACCCATTCTATTTTGGCTTCTACATCATTTTGAAATTTTGTTCCTTTTTATCTTTATTTATACTTTTATTTAAATATAGAGGAACCTCGGCATTATTAGCACCATACCCCTTGAGAAAAAAAAAAGGAAAGTCATACATCTGTACACACACACACACATACACACCTTCATATAGAATACAATGAGATTTTTTTTTTTAGCAAATTATAGGTATTTCTCAGGAAATGTTAAGGAAATGACAAACTAATTCTGTCATTTCAAATTGCAGCATTGGTTTCCTGTTCCCGTCTGCAAATAACAATTTTTTTTCTCTCTCTCTCATACATACAAACACTTCTCACCCTTCTCAAAAGTGTTGCAGTCATAATTACTTGTCTTTATTGTGGGTTTGTTGTTTATTTCATTTTATTTTATTCCATCAAATCTTTCCAGACCCCCAGTGACTTAAAAAATAAAACCACACAGAACGGTTATCATAACCTCCAGTGTATTTAATCCTAAAACAAGGTAAGAACATGTCTCAAACATATATCTAGATAATTGATGCATAGCCAAAGTTTTCTTTAAACGAGTCTCATTTATCTAATCTTTTGTACCATCCCACCTTTTCCTAAGCTTAATGGTGTAAGAAATCCAATGCATTTCAAAATCTGAACGTGTTCATAGAGTTTACTAACTTCAATAAATGTTTAAGATCGCGCTGGGCTATATCTTTATTTAGACTAATCTCAACAAAACATACTAATAATGATACTATCAAATTGTCGATTTTTTATGTTTTTTCTCATGGACTATTTTTTATTCTAAATCATGGCTGCTTATAAGAATGAAAATTTACAAAGCCTACTTCAAATTCCTACTATATTTTAAAACCTTCTTTGCCCTCTAATAAAATTACAGTACAAAACTCAGTTTCTTTGTATTTAGCTTTTGCTGGCTGTTTCTTCATGCTGCATTTTATAATACATGCATACAAAGGTTATGCCTCAATGTATCTATTTATACGGTTGATTTACATGTAATTTGCACAGATGACAAATGAGCAAATGATGACATGTATCCTGACATCATTACACAAATGGTACAACTTAATACTTGCATTAGACTTCATGACATAATCACACCATTTGTGCCATAATATCATGATGCATAAGCTATCATTCTGGCCTCTCTTTTCTATCATAAAATCAAAACAATATGCTATTTGGACAAAAATGTTATCCAGCAGAAAAAACGGGCCTTGAAATCGCATTGTATCAAATCCATATTTGGCCTTAACTTGCATTATGTGGTGCCAATGTGGGACAAGGTATGTTTTGAAGAGTATCTTTCCTAAAAAGCAAATGAGAGAGCTTGGGTAGACTTTAAAACACTTGTCCTTTTTCTATCTTAATCAGAAGAAAAAACAACCCATCTTTGGCCCTAACCTGAAATATGAGATCCACTTCCTAATTTTATACCACGTTTGAATGGTAGTATTGATGAAGAGCAGTGGGCCATTAGGTATAAAGAGTTCTTCAACTAAAATTTTAAATCCAAGTTATACACTGATCTGATTCATGGTAAGCCATCATGTAAATTGCTATCGCTTATTGTGAGGCACTGTGATTTATGGGGTAGTGTTACAAATTATTATATGTTGGTCAATAGCCTTGGTTAAAAATAATGTAATTTAACACAATGAGGGGAGCCAGCCTTTGTCATTTATACGTCTTTTTTATGGCTTAGTTTTATGTGTATCTGGCCCTTATGGTTTATGTGATCTAGCAAGATGTGTGAAGTTAGCCTTCGTGGTCCAGGAGCCTTTCTACACTGCTCCACCATTGAAACAGTGAATTTAGTATGGACTGAGATAACACTCATTATGAAGTAAGGTTTTCATATACAGAGGTCCTTCTGTCACATGTGGGAACAACTGTGCACCTAATCAAAGAGGCAAAAACATCTGATCTGACTCTTGGATTTTGTGTTAGATTTTTATTTTTTAGTGACTATTGTTTTAATGACTTATTAACTGCCCAGAATTACTCTGGTGAATAAACTCCACCTTAATTTGTACATGCAGCACAAGAGTGCTTTCTTTCCTTCTGGAGGAACATACTTCTGTATGCTTGTCTCCCGTCCTTTGTTATCCTGTTCAGAGATGACTTCTCTCACCACGTCTCAGCCCACAGATTAAAACGAGCACGACTGGGAATTAAGTGTTGGATCAGCAGGCAGGGCCTGCCCTTCGCTGGGGGGTGGCTTGTGTCTCCAATGGGTTGCCATGTAGCAGGACTCTCTGTAGAAAAGAAAACTTCTACTTTAGTCATTATTTCTCCTGGTGGGAGTAAGAAAGTTCCAACATTTATTTTCAGATTTACAGAGTATAAATCTGGGGTGTGGGACTTAAATACAAATGTGTTAGGGTGTGGATAGCATATATTCAGATGTATACCAAAACCAAGCAAGACTCATTTAGAGAACAAAAGTAAAGAGTTTCTGAACAGACTTGCCCCGAGAACAAAAATGTGTTAGATCTTATTTCTTTAGCTGACTAATGATTTGACTTTACAGTTGTGAAAATCATGGTGGATTTTATCCAGCTACAAAATAGAAGTTGTATTTGCCAGTGATAAGTTTTTATCCCACCCTCTATTAGTAGGATCTAAATGTAGAACATATATAACTCTTCACATTTCATGAACTACTGCTCATTCTTACTTAACTCTGCATACGTTGCATCAGAGTCAGGATGTGACCCACCCTTGCCGGACCATCCGTACTTCACCACAACCTTTAGCGCTCTGCTTACTTCTTAAGCAATTGGCTGACTCTCATTTGTGCTAAACCTTAGCTGTTGTTTTTAGAAGAATGTTATGGAACATGATTTAACTAAAATAGACAGGGAAAAACTGGTGGAACTCAGACTTCTCTATTTTTCCCATTATCATTTAAGCAATGAGGATGCTTAAGAGTCTTAAGCAAGGATAAAGGGGAAGCTTGCAAAACACAGATGCTAGAATTCTTTCCAACCCCTTACCAGCAGTGCGCGCGCATGTATATTTATTTATTTATATTTCAAATTTGTCACTATCCATCTCCCTATGGGGTGACTCTGGGCGGTTTATAGTAAAAATAGAATAAATATTGAATGAAAATAGGTAAATATTAATTAATTAATTAAAATATGTTAAAAGCACACTTCCTTTATAATACTTCCAAGAGGCAGATGTTAATTAGGTGTTAATAAACTCAGGGCACATTGTCAAGGTGCCAGCCATCCCCAGGGTCGATTGTATTTTTCCTTGCCCCAGGCAAGTTGGCAGAGCCAAATCTTCAATTCCCTCCGAAAAATTGGGAGGGTAGGGGCCCGCCACACTTCTGGGAGGAGAGTATTCCATAGGGTGGGGGCAATGGCAAAGAAATCTCTCCTCCTGGGACCCACCAGTCGACATTCTCTCATTGACGGGATCCTCAACATGCTTTCTCTGCTGGACTGTGTGGGACGGGTTGATGTAATGGGGGTGAGACGGTCCCTCAGGTAACCTGGACCCATGCCATGTATGGCTTTAAAGGTGATAACCAACACCTTGGATTGGACCTGGAAGCAAACTAGAACCCAATGCAGCTCCCGCAGCAAAGGTGTTACATGTGCCCTCCT